AGCCCACACAACCTCGTGCTGACGCCTCCCCCATTGGGACTATCCACTAAGAGGAACCTGAATATTTTACTTGGACGGTTTTAACTTTAATTTTAACATTAACGACCCGCTTTGTGGGTGATATTTTAAATGCAAATGGGATACCCGCACTCGGGGTACTGGATGTTGTTGTGTTTTACGCTCCGATACGTGTAACATCTTCCACAAAAAACTGTATATTGTGATTGTTGAGCAGTGCAAGTGTTTCCATGTTTTTGTTGTGGTTGCCTCTGATGATGGCTCTTTGTGAGCCGAAACATGTAAGGCAAATGTGAGAAAATGGTGACAAGAATATATATTGTTACACTTGACGGAGGTTCTATTGATAATTGGGGATTTTAAATTAATTGCTATGCACCATCTTCTGGTCCATGCTGCCAGTATCAATTTACTTGGGGGAAACATGAACATAATAAAAGGAACTCAACTTACATATTATGTAACACATGTGTATGGTGCACTGTACACAGCATGCAGTTGTAGGATTATATGTAAAGTCTTCCTGTAATGTCCAGAACTCCAGACTCTTGCCTCAGTTCTCAAAATAAAGCTGGGCTCTATTTGGCTGACCAGGTCATAAACAGTCAGTACACAAACAGTACCATGATGAATGATTTCATTGTTCAGAGCTAACAAATGAACCACTAACATGACCTGGTGGTGGGGGGGGTTGTTTTGGTTTCAAGCAAAGATCAAACTGTCAACAATCAAAATGGGCAGGTGTCCTGCCTTATATAAATATAACACTAGGCCACAGCAGGCTGTTACTTGCTGAGATATATATATATATATAACATTCTTCTGTTAAAGATTAAGAGGTGGTTCATCCAGTCTGCACCATTAATAAGCTCCTCTTTGTAGCATGTGACTGCAGAATGCCACCTTTTAATATTAGTATGTAATCTATCACTAACTGCACCATTAATTAGCTCCTCTTTTTCTAGCGTGTGACTGCAGAATGGCACCTTTTAATGTTAGTATGTGATCTATCACTGTCTGCACCATTAATTAGCTCCTCTCTGTAGCGTGTGACTGCAGAATGGCACCTTTTAATATTAGTATGTGATCTATCGCTGACTGCACCATTAATTAGCTCCTCTTTGTAACATGTGACTGCAGAATGCCACCTTTTAATAGATCAACAACTGGTCATGGTGCAGGGGAAACCCACCCCCTCCAATAATAATAATAATAATAATAATAATAATAATAATAATAATATTAGTATGTGATCTATCGCTGACTGCACCATTAATTAGCTCCTCTTTGTAGCGTGTGACAGCAGAATGGCACCTTTTAATATTAGTATGTGAACTATCACTGACTGTGTAGACCATATGGTGGCCATGGGGAGAATTTTACAAAGTGGTGCAACAGGAAAATGTATGCCACTCACAAACGCCATGTCAGCTTGTACATGTACCGAGCAGATTTGGGTGGCAGTGATGTCTTTGATCAGATCTGTACTGATATATTTTTGCCCTGCTGAAGTTCTTAATGCAGTGGGTTATTGAGGTAAAAGGTAAAGTCCGTGTGCTCAATGAATTAAGCACAATTCCATGAAGGTGTATGGGGGAGTGGATGTATGGGTCCTCATTTTCTTGACCCTCATACTAGCTGGAGGTGAGTGATCAGCTTCATGCCCCAGCTGCTTTACCCCTGGGGAAAGAGCACTTGGTACCCATTGGGTAGGAGGTTGGGTGAACCCCAGAGCCAATCTGGATGATTTGGAGAAGGAAATTCTTGACCCTACCAGGACTCAAACTACAACCCTTCAGTCGTCCAGCCCGTAGCCAGTCGCTATACGGACTTCGCTACCCCGACTCACTGCGTTATTGAGGTTGCTTTTAAAAATTAAAATGTCACTATTTTTCCACCATTCCCATAATTTGTAGCACCTAAAGCCTAGGGAAGACCTTCATGAGTTTTTGTGGTAGCACAGCTGATGGAAAATAACCAATATTCATTAAGCTTAAGAACTGTGTAATTTTGATTTAAAGTGATGTATACTTTCTTATAGTTGACCTATCATTGCCCTTGATCCACTTATTTATCTTAGATGTAGTGGGGTGGAGTGTAGACCAACCACCTCAGTCAGAGAAAGGCTAGATACAGTGATACAACTTCTGCTGGAATTTGATCACTACCTTGCGATTTATATCTTTTCAGTTTTGCAATAGCAATTTGAACCTCAAAAGGGCTAGGATCATGTACTAAGGGCTCAGCTGTATGGATTTCTGTCTGCCTAACAGCACTGACCCTATGTACATTCAATAACTGAGAGAAGTAGTTCTTCCACCTGCTCAAAATGTTGTGGGAATCTGCAAGCTGATCACCATTCTCATCCTTCACTAAGTTCTAGGTTGGTAATCCCTCTTAAAGTCGTTTATTCCTCTATACAGGTCTCTAATGTTCTTGTTCTTACTGTTCATTGCAAGGTCATCAATTTTGTCTTTCAGATATTCCCTCTTTTTATTCCTGAAATGCCTGCTGGTTTCGCATCTTATATTGTTCAGATTATCCATATGTATTTTGCTTGGATCATGTAACCATTGCAATTTGGCTTGGTTTCTTTGGTCTAGTGATTTTGAGCATGCTTCATCGAACATGGCTTATGCTTCTTCAGTTCATAATAACGTAGACTCTCCTTGGCAGAAATTTTTATATTATCTCTAATAGTTTTCCAAGCTTTATTAACATCCACCTCAGTGTCCAAGTTTTCCAAGGCCACGAACCTGTTTTAGATTCCAACATGATACTGCCCTTTACCCTCTACCTCATTTAATTTATTGAGATTGAATCTCTCCATATGAACTCTGTGCATTGTTTGTTTGCCCACTGCCAGTGTTTCCCTACCCTTTCCCACCGCCAAATAGTGGTCAGTAACACAATCTGCTGCCCTGAATGATTGGTCATCAGGTATACTTGAGTGACATCCCCTGTCTATCAAAATATGGTCTATTTGATTGTGTATCTTCCCATCAGGAGATGTCCAAGTAAATTTATGGATGTTACGATGTGGGAACATTGTACTTTTGACAGTAAGATTTTTTGATGTGGCAAAGTTTGCTACTCTAACTCCATTATCATTACTAATTTCATGCAAACTCTCATTCCAAGTCATTGGTTTGAAAATGTCTTCCCTCCATACTTTGGAATTGAAATCTACTAGCAAAATGTTTATAGGGTACTTCAAGAATTTTTGAAAAACATGTTCTAGTTCTTCATAGAACCTGTCCTTTATGTCATCAGTGTAAGAATATAGAACAAAATATTATATCTTGAATTATCCATTATTTTGTATTGCATGCACGTCTTATCCCATTTTGTTACCTTGGAGTTGACAGTGCCATGTAAGATGCATGGTGTTTTTTAAACATGGCTGCCAGCACTGTTATGGCCAGTTCTAGCCTCATGGCTAAAAACGTAATGAACCAGCAAATGTTCAATTTTTGACAAGTTTTGCTGATATATATATATATATATATATACCAGCTGAATAATATCACCGATTGCTGGGTGTAGTATATTTCAGTACAAGATGTGGCTGTCATGGGTTTGCATATTATTAAAATGTGACACTTTTAGAATTTCTCTATAAAGTACTGTTCCACATTCTTTTGTACATGATGATATCATATGTGAGTGATGATGATGATGAATTATCTTCTTCCTTGGATGTCTGATACAAAAGTTTGCTTCAGTGCTTATGGCTGTTTCTACTGTTTTAGGAAATGGTATTACAGTGCATATTTGATATATTTGTCCTCAGGAGCGTGTTGGCAGACGATGTGGAGGTTTGCGCGTGCTTAATTCGTATTGGGTTGCTCAAGACTCTACTTATAAATATTATGAAGTTATCCTGATAGACCCAGCTCACAAGGTGAGTACAGCTCTAAGCTGAGGACAGGAGTAGTTCATAGGATATTAACTAGCCAAATAAGTGAGCAAATTGGCTGAAGCAGTAACACTTCTGACTTAAAGTCCATTGGTGCTCATTTCAAATCTCAACTGGGACACCAGGTGTCATGTCTGAGGTATTTGTGGTTTTCCTCAGTACTTCAGGTAAATACCAGGGTATAGTATCATAAATTCGGCCATGACTGCATGCTCCCACACCCCTTTCAGTCATTTGTCATCCAAACACATGGAGCTGTATAGATGAGAGGACTCTTAAGAGAGGTCACAGTTTATCTACCAATTGGATAACCTTTTCCTACATAATCAAGAGCTTTTATTGCAGGCTGTTCGTCGTGATCCTAAGGCCAATTGGATATGCAATGCTGTTATGAAACATCGTGAATTGCGTGGATTGACATCTGCAGGCCGCAAATCAAGAGGTCTGGGCAAAGGACATCGTTACAGCCAAACTATTGGAGGATCAAGGCGTGCAGCATGGTTAAGGAGAAATTCACTGCAGCTGCACAGGAAACGTTAAGGCTTTTGTTGCTGTTGTATAAAAAGTACATAAAAATAAATGTGGCAATGATGGGATGTAGAAAAAATGTTGGATTTTATTTCTTTTGTACCATATGTCCAAATTTATATGAAATGTTTTAGTTAAGTATAAGCCTGTGCTGAAACATTCTTTGTTGTACCATGAAGGTACAGAAGGTAAGTCTAAAGTCTGGTATGAATAGGGTGTATCATTTCTGGTTCCTCAAACCACAGGATTATTTTGTTTAAGCAGAAAAATGTAATGAGCAACTTGATTACTTGCATGACCAGTTTGAAATGCACCTTAAATTTCATATACATATTTTAGTTCCTGTATAAATATTATATACATAACAGGGATTTTACATATAATGCGGATAGTAAAGTTTTTCTTGACAACCGGTGTATCTGTACTGGTTTTCTGGAATTTGCCCATTAAGTATTCCAACAAGTAGAATATAAGATTCTGAATTCTGACCAGTGTTGGTGATTGGGACTGATTCTGGCAGACTTGAATAGGTTTACAATATTATATTTAAGCATCCTGTTACACTACACAATATATGACATAAACTCTGTCCTAAGTGCAACAATTTATTGTAGTTCTTTTGTCTTCCTTTCTTCTACACTACATGTTTCGGCCTTAAATGGCCATCAACAGGTGTATATTCTCATGTAGCTGCTACACTGCACCTAGTTTAAAATTTAAAAACACCAGTCTTCCCAATTGTTCACTTCTCCGTTGCTAACGGGTTTCGATATATCAGAATCCTCCCCGCTGATATCTGTCAGTTATGTACAAAATCTTTGTTAATCTACGCATGTCAATTGATTTTCGAAAATTGGCACTCTTAAAATCTTCAGTTCAATTTTAAAGAAATTTTTGAATTGAAGACGGGAACATCCAGCACATCATATGTTCCCTGTATTTTGGAACATTTGATAAGGGATGAAATTGAGATTGCAGTCCACATGTTGCTAACTCTGAAGTTGGTGTGGGTGTTTGCATTTTCTGCTGAACAGCCTTTCAAAGTTTGGCCAAAGGACATTGAGTTACTTTGTGTGCACGCAAGAAAGCAACACAAAAACAGAAAGCTGAAGAATGTATGTAATGCTCAGGACATTGAGGTGGATCTTTTTTTTATTTGCTAAGCTTCAGGTATTAATTCAATGGGGCTGAGTCCTTGAGTTGCACTGCTGCTTATGAGTTTCTCAACATATATGGAACCTGAAGGTTCATTACTATGTTAACAAAAACCTGCCATAAGGCAGATGGTTTAGCTAAGCAACAAGAAGGATGTACCATGGTACTTTATAGAATAGGGTGATACCAAACAAAACAAAATGACTAAACTGATGAGTAATATTTGAAGGTATAATGTGTGTTTCGATTCAGAACTGCAGAAAGATGTCTCATTGGAAGCTGTGAAGTGGCAGTAGATGAGCAGTGAGAATGCATAGGATTGAAAATGAAATGTTGCAGTGATATGTAGATATGCAAAGGGAATGTAAGAACACATAGCAAAAACAGTAACTTTAGTGGCTGAAAATATGAGTTGGGAAAACATGATGGAAATGTGTGAAGCAGTAAAAGGAAGGAATTGAAAAAATAACTAGTTATTAACTTATGTGAGCACAAGAGCAATGAACGCAAACATGAGAAACCCCGAGAAGACCATGAATTTCCCAATGTCAACATTTTGTAACATTTTATTCATAATACATCTACATAGATTACATGTAATGATTGAATGTTTTCTAGAGGGTTATTTTCCATTTTAATTTCTTACTTGGGTATGACATGTTTTCATATATGTCTTTCAATGTGGTAATGAAGTAATGATTAACAGTGCTTACCTCATTTGAGTATGCTGTTGACATTCTGAGCATGCGTTAACGGCTTCTGAGTGTGTGTACGTACGAATATATTGGCTTAAGTACTGGTTCTGTGTTTAGGTTTTTCACAAAGTAGGCTATTGAAATAATGAAATTGTTTCTTATAATGCAAACGTTTAATAAATTTATTAAACAGTGTAAATAATGAGAGAAAAGTTTAACTTATTGACACAAAAACTGAATTATAAGATTCAGGTTCTGAAAACAAAAGTACAGTGGACATTAAATTATCTGTGGTAATGGAGTGCAGATGTATTCTGGATAATGAAGAACAGTGAATAATCCCCAAATCTGGAAATACTGTCCATGCAGCATTCAACACTGAAAAATCACAGTAATTATTACTAAGTGATGTTGCTGCTGGCCACTAAGTGTACAAATATCTTAACATAAGAAAGCAACAATTGTTCAACAGTAGTAGGCAAGCAAGAAAAGCAATGAAATAATAAAATTGAAAGCTGCAGCTGGGTGAGAAGATGTACAGGGTACAGTAAATCATGTAGTAATGAAACAGATATAATGGAGAACACATCACTGTTAGAAACTCCTAATAAGTACTTAACGAGTTCTAAAATTTCTGTGTTTAATCTGCATGCAGATAATAAGGAGTCTGTTGAAGGCGACAGAACTTCTCTTATATAGAATGTCATGAGACTACATGGTGCTTTATGTATTGCACCTTATATGATGTGCAACCACTAAGGCAATAGAGTTGGTGGAAACATTTCGTGTAACAAACCGGTGTTGTATAGACTGTAGTTATAACATTGAGCTAAAAAAATGAAAAAATAAGCAAATGTACAGTACACATACAAAGTCAGTATAGTGACAAGCTGTGGGCTGTATGGTTTAGGTTTGATTTCTGGCAGGGGATTCTTCTGTTCTCCACAGTGTCCAGACAAACTCTGGTGTACACCCAGCTTCCTATCCACAGGGTACTGGGGGTAAAGTGGCAGGGGCATGAAGCTAACGACTCGGCATCTAGTGTCAAGGCCAAGAATGGTGGAGTTGTATCTCCACTCACCAGCACATAGTGCTTAATTAAGCACAGGGATGCCTTTAGCTTTTTTATGTATAAAGTACCCGTAATGGAATAAAATGGGTCTGTTGAAACAAAACGTAAGGGACAATGTTGGCTTAATCTTTGGTGTACAGTATTTATACATTGTTTTTCAGTGAACTATACACTATAGACATAACAATTTATATTTATACCATTTTGGATAAACTTATTTTTCAAGCACAATGAATTGTTTACACAGTGGACACCAGAATATTTAGATATCCAGTACAGCAATTATGTTTTCAGTCCCCACCATTTCCCCATGTGTCTGTGAAAAATAATTCCTGTGTAATGAACTTCAATACAAAGAGAGTAAAATGTGTAATTGAAATTCTGCTCTGGATGGAAGTATGTGATTAGTATAATGAAATTTTGGTTTTAGAAAGTAGATAAATTGGTTTAGAGTAGTTATTATTGTGATGGTAAGAGTAATGTGATGATGCTGTAATGCTTGCAGTGTGGTGGACAATTCGTTCTATCTGTGCTACCTTCCCATCAATTATTGCCGAGTAAAAAGTTTCTCAGTGCTTGAGTGGTAGATATAAAGCATTTTTTGGTGGGGGGGACATTGGCAGTGGAAACAAAAGCAGAAGTTTTCATTGGAAGAAAAATGTAGCATTTTAGAAAATATTAATATTAAAAAATGTAAAGGAATCTGCCTATGAACTCTCTCACACTCATTAAGAATAGGGTTTATAGAAACCATTTTGATGTTATTGAACCACAGAAAATTATATAAGTAAATTATAAGGAAGGGACCAGTGCTGCATACAAATGGTATATTGATCAAGAGCAAAGACATTTTCAGTTGATTTAATGTTATGCGAGATCCTTTGCTCATCAAATTACAGAATTTTAGGGCATCACTGGGTGGCTCCATTAATTCTGATAAATAGCATGAGCCAAAAAGACAATTACTGGGAAAGAGGACACATTTTTAAAATTAAAATATGTAGAGCAAATTGCTAAAATGGTGTCCAGCTGAAGATGTGTACAGTACTGATGAACTAGCTCTTTTCTCTAAGCTGATGTCCAATAAAATTGTAAGCTTGGATGAAAGGTGCACTGGGAAGTGTACAAAGAGAATTATGGTGTTCTACACAAATTCTGTAGGAACTGATAAAGTGAAGCCCGTTATAATTAGGAAGTTCAAGAGCCCTTTGAGTAAGCAGGTTAGGTTGAGTGGTAATGCCAGTCTTGTGTTCAGGAATTAACTCTTTGACTGGCGCGGGCGTGTTTTAACGCCCGGACGATGCCAGCCGTTCCCTGGCGTTGGCGTGTTTTAACGCTTTGACAATCTCTTCCCTTCTTTGCTCTCTTGGCACTCATCAACCAAAGACATATATATGATAGTTTTTGTGCATGTTTGTAAAGAACCCTTGTAAACTTTGTGGGGGTCTATATTACTGTCAGAACCCTCTGAGAAGGAAAAGGTCAGAAAATATTTCACATTCATTCAGTTTCACCATGGCTTCTTGCAGCAAGTGTCTTCGTGTTCCTACAGACCAGCTGGAAAATGTTGTGACCGAGATTTGTTCTGATGATGATAGTGGCGATGAAATAATGATTCCTGAATTGGATGAAGTTGATAGTGACAATAATACAGTGATAGACAATGATCCACAAGACAGTAATCATGAACATTTACCTACCACGAGTGCGGTGCCTGACACGCCCATCTCATGAACGTACGGAGACATTGTACCCCCAATATTTCCATTTTCTAGTATTTTCGGGATCAAAATTGATATAACACATAAAATGCATCCCTTTTCATGGATTAAAATTTTTTCTGGATGACGACTTGGTAAATCACATCACAACTGAAACCAATCGCTATGCTCACCAGCACTTCAACACACATGAGTTAGCTCCTCACTCTCGAAAACACAATTACAATTATGTCACATCAGATGAAATCTGGACATACTTAGGAATTGTGTTCATGACAGGAATCGACAAACGCCCTGAAATTGAAGAATATTTGTCCACTAGGCCCCTATTTCACACCCATGGTATGGACAAAACATGTCTTTGCGGTTGAATAGTTTCATTCTATTCAAAAAGAACACAAAAACCAAAAATACAAGAAGAGAAATTATGGATTCGAAGATTTTATATTGGACTGTGTAGAAAAATGACTGAACGAAACAAACAGTGTTTAGAGGGAGAAAAGTAAAGGAATGAAGTGGATGACGAATCTATTGGATCAGACTAGAGTGCAGTCACGCCTCCGCCCTCGACCTTGAAAAGACCACCAGTGAAAGAGCCAGCAAATCGTCTAGAGGGTGGCTTGAAAATTCACAAAATGGTCCATGTTCCTAACAGTAACAATAAGAAGAATGGTGCCCTGAGAAAGTGTCGCGTGAGTGCTAAGCACAAGGTTAGAAAAGAAACAAGTATCATGTGTGCAGGCTGTGGTGTGGCTCTCTGCAAACTTTCATGTTTCAATGTTTATCACACGAAGAAAAACAAATAAAGAGGTGTGGAAAAGCATTTATTGCATAAAATATTGTATTTTAATTAGTTCCTAAAAATTTCGTTTTTAAAAACCAATTTTTGTTGAAGTTGTTTAGGAAAAAGTAACTACATGCATTTAAGTGACATAAGGTTTAAAGGGCCTGCCAGGACAGGGGTGGGATTTAAATACCCTTCGCACCAGTCAAAGAGTTAATTGGCTCAGATACTGAATATCCTGATTGAGATTTTTCGTTATTTTCCTCAGTCTCTCCAGACATACCAAGGTGGTACCTCAAATTTACCATTTCAGCTTCCTTTCTAATTCAGTATTCAATATTCATTCATCCTGTCATATGACACTATGTAATCTGAGTTACTGATGGCTTTGTTAAATGAACTACAAATCAATAAGAACTCTCGGAGTTTGAAAATCATACAGCACCTATCTTTTGACTCTCACAACATGAGCATGGATGATGGCACTACGTTCTATGAATAGCTCCTTTCTGTAGGCTTATAGGTTAAGGGGGGGGGGGGACCAAACAGAAATTTTCTCATAACTTAAAGCTGCACACCAAACGGGAATGTACAAAGTCCTTTAAAGAACGTTAAAATGCTGTTCTGCTATCTCAGCGCACATCCATTTTTCAGCTACAGGTATTCCTCATATATGATAGGTGTGTTCCAGAAAAGCACATAACAATGAAACCAGAAAAATGGAAGATACATTCCTCTTCCTCCCCCCCCCCCACCTTCTTCCAAAAGCCAAACACAGTAATCTACTCACCCTTTCTCCATCTCTCGAGTGAACAGCAAGCCGTTTGAATTGAAGCACATGCTGATAATTGAAGTAAGTCTGAATTAGTTTATTGCATTTTTAGAACTCCAATATATTGGCAAGTACACACACTGACATGTAACATATGTTCCACAGACATGATTCAGATCACTCCTAATTCAAATACTACTGGAATATATTTTGGTGAGCTAAGGCAACTGCCAACAATCTTTGAGGCTATCCTGATGGTTTGCATTAGTCAGAAATACCAGAGTCCAACCAAGGTGTCAGATTGCTAGCACAAGGACACTATTTTGCAGATAAGGGATGAACAAGAGGTAGAGGACAGTGACATCTCTGATTTTAACTGCAATGAACACTACCAGAAGTTATGTAAGAAAACCTGAGTCACAGTTGGTGATTTCATTCACGTTGATAATGATGTTATTCAGGAAACTACTACAGAAGACAACCCAGTGCTTTAGAGATGGGAGGAAACAAGGGAACAAATTATGAGGAACAGGATTAAGAAATATGTGCTCAGTGATTGCAGGAGCTCTGCAGCCTCTCAGCAGTAGACATGATCTGCGTTCTGCAGTATTTATTGTTAACTGAAGATGTGCCAGATTGCATACTTGAATGAAAGAATGCTACCACCCATGATTACCCAGAAAAGGCACTGTTAAATCAGATTGTTCTGAAAAAGATTACTGATTATTTTGGGGTCAAAATAATTGATGCTTCAGTCATAAACTGCAGATAAGCTCCTTATTAAATAAAACAGTGTAATTATATTAATTCTATAAAAATAACTGATACTGGTATTTCAACCATTATATTTTATATCATTTTCACTACTTATTTTTGCAGGATTATTTATAGGTTTGGAATGGATTCAAACAGGATTTGCGTGAAAAATTACAGAAATATTAAAAGTAATGGGAGCAGGCTTCCGGTCTAGACAACCGAAATTAACGGCTGCTGGGATCCGTTGTGCTGACCACATAACACTCTCTATCTGCTAAAGTTGGCACTAATTTCACCGACAAGTGGCGGTCGCTTGGTCGGTATAGTTCGCTTGCGGACTGCATGCCATGGAGTTTGTTTGTTTGTAATGGGAGTAGGCTTGCTAAATGTGTGAAGAGAGGGTGAGAACCAGTCACTCCAAGATTGCTGAGCATATGCTGTTAAAGTGTATGGTCTGAAGCACTGATGCCTTGTTGAACAATCTGATTTTATGGTGACTGCTGGTTTCTGTCAATGCTCAATGCTTGGGAAGGTTACAACCAGTGGCAACACCCGTCTTGGAGGAACGGGGTTTCCTTTCTTTAGACTGCTTGCCTACCACAGCTATTGAATCCTGTCTACCTGCCATGTAACCATGGGTAGGGGCTTTGCCAGGTGCTACCCATCAGCCCAGTGGGACCTGGAAATCTCAAAAGGTAGGGTCACTGCTCCATGTAGTGGAATGTCTCTTAAAGAGTTCCAACTAGTGATGGCTTGATGTTTGAGGACAGAACAGGCTAATAAGTTCAACCATTTCTGATGATAATGTTTTCCATAGAAGCTTCATTATTCATATCCACAGGTCAACTGGTGCACATTCTGCTTTGTGGTTTACACAATAAGGGTGAGAGAGCTGGGATAGCTCAGTTGCTATAGCAATGGGCTATGGGCTGGACAGGTGAGGTTTGATTCCTGGTGGGGGCAAAAGATTTTTCTCTACTCCACAGTATCCAGACTGGCTCTGGGGCCCACCCAGCTTACTATCCAATGAGCACCAGGGGTTTCTTCTCCAGAGACAAAACAGCCTGGGTATAAAGCTAATCACTCACCTCTAACTAGTGCCCAGGTCAAGAATGGTTGAGCTATGCCTTCACTCCTTGACATGTCCTCACGGAGTGGTGCTTAATAAATTAAGCATAAGGACAATTTTACCTTTACCATGACCTGATGTTTTTTCATTCACTGATGTCACCCATTATATACAACCATAAACAGTGATCTTCAAAACAGGACAATTTATCTTTATAAAGGACACTAGTGGCTGAAACATGTAAGGCAGAAGTTTTTCATTCATTNAATAAAAAGCAATTGCACTAAATTATACCAAATTTACGTGTTCGCTAACAAGTCATTTGTTACTTGCTCTTCAAGTGAATAAAGGTACACAAAATAAGGCAAATAGCAGTTTCTTCTATTTTATCAATAATTTAACTGTCTTCATAAAATTACAGTCTATAATATGAGGAATCATCACAGGACGGAATCAAATATCACTTAAGTACTGGTGATTCACTTGTATTCTACAGTATATCATTTAAGTGCACTTGACTAGATCATTGTGTGAAAATTAAACAATATTTTGGAAAATACTGCAGTCACATGGGGATGTATTGCACCTCTTATTCATCATTATTTTCATTAGGTTCATAATGCTGCAGTCTTCCCCTTAATTCTTTTATTTGCTCATTCTTTTTGTTCAGGATTTTCTTCATGTTAGCATATGCAGCTGTCTGACTGAATTTCCTCTCCAGTTCCTGCAAACAAATTGAGCATTTAAAAATATTTTTTTTTTCACATGCAGCATATTTCTGATTATCCATGCTAATGAAGGAGGGAAAAATGACACAACAAAAACAATGATGACAACAACAACAACAACAAAATAATACTAATAATAATAATCAAAGAGAATCAAAGTTTCACGTGTGATCAGGGCCATAGTAATTTAAAAAATAGAAACCTGGAAATACAGGTACAATGTCCAGTTTGTTCAGTTATCTTGAAGACTGCAAGTTTTATGGAAAATGCGTAGTAAACATAAGGTGTGTGATTAATAATTCTCTACAACTTTTGTTCAAAACGTTTTTCATTTTAATAAATATTCAGAAAGTTACATCTGAGATAAGAATAGAAATAAATATTGGTTTTCATATAAAGTGGTTATTAAAATATTTGATCAAAATGCAAATTGAAGTACTTCTATGAATGTAAATTTTTTTTTCTTGGCACTACAGCCCCAGTGGGCCTAGGCCTACCTCCATGAACTTCTCCGTTCATTTTGGTTTTTCTAGATCTTAGACATATGGTAGGACTCCTTGGGCAGGTGATCAGCTCGTCACAAGGCCTCTACCTGTACGTTTGTAAAATTCACCAACATAAAATTTCATGAAAATCTGCCCACTGGTCCTCAAGTTGTTTCAAGTGTACAGATGGATGGATGGAAGCACTGAGAGAACTTAACAGGCATTCCACAGGGTTGTGAATACTCCTAAAAAGGTGCACAGATAAGCCACAAACTGGATAATCCATATACAGATAATTAGGAGTATTCTAGTCTCTGATTTTATTAGTTTTCTGTATGATTTTGAAACTTTTTTCTTCACTGGGGAGACTACTGAAATTGAGTTTGTTGGAGAATGAAGTGCTAAGGAGAATATATGGACTTGAAAGAGATGAAGGAATTGGAGAATAAAGAAAATTACATAACAATGAGCTTCATACCTTGTACTCTGCATGTACCACTGTTTGGGCATTAAACAAAGAAACATGAGATTGGTGGGACATGCAGCACAAATGAGAAAAAATTGAACAATTTTATCTCATTCAGTCAACAAATCTTTACAAACAATATGTGTTCACACATAACGCTTACATTCTGAACATGTTACGATATCACTAAGCTTCCCATGTCTGGTAGAGGAAAACCAGAAGACAGAACTATCACTGTTGGTTTTCCATGGCATAGATATATTCAAAGACAGAAATATATCCCAGTCTTTAATTACAGACTTTGTTTGTTCTTATTTCCAGTCTACCAGTTCTGACTTTGTCATATTGTCTTCAAAAGGGAATGTGTGCTGGTATAATCATCCCTGCATTTAATTCTTTCCCACCTGAAGAAGTCTCTGTTCCCTATATATGCACAGAATTGTAGGCTGCATTATCCATCACAACAATGGAAATGAAGGGCAAGTTCTCAATTTATCATTTGACCTCTTTTAAAAATTGACACAGTTAATCTTGTGGTATTAACCACTCAATATATACTTTTTGTTTTAATATTTATGATAAAACTTGTATATTGTCACCTCTATGAGTCCTCTAGACTGTAAGAGTTATAAATGATATCATCACTTAGAGGACATGTCTGTACTCATAGTTTAGATGTATCCATGTTTTGTTCACGTATACTGTAGGACGTCCTTCAGTGATGTCCCTCAGACAGGTGCCCCACCATGCAAATGATACTATTCTGTTCCATCATTATGGGTCTTGAATCCTTACCTTAAAATAAAATCCAATTAACTGAAATATTTTTTGTAGTGTTTCTCTACTGCCTTCAAAGTCTGCTGCTTCTCCTGCAGCAAGTGTAAACTTTTTCAGAGTTGACATGCATGCTTCAGAGCATAAAAGTAGTATATCAGTTGCCAGTTCAAGTCACAGATAATGATTTTTAATGGTCTTGTGTTATTTTCCTTCCCTGGTTTAATTAACTTATCTTGGGTGCATTTCAAATGCTTTGCTTGTTCTTGTAATCAGATTATGATCATCCTAAATGAACAGAATTTCATCATAAAACAAAAGGAATATATAAATAAAATAAAGATAGCTTATATCAAACAAAACAAACTCTGTGGTTTTAGTCCGCAAGTGAACTATACTGACAGAGTGACTGCCACTTGTTGGCTAAGTTAGTGCCAACATTAGCAGATAGAGCATGTCTCGTGGTCAGCGCAATGAATCACCATGGCAGTTAATTTCGATTTTCTAGACTAAAGCTGCTATTTCCTTGAAATAGCTCCTCAATTATCCTCATGAGGCTGAGTGCACCCCATTCCAGACCCACTACCTCTCAGAAAATCTGGTAGTGCCGAGAATCGAACCCAGACCTCTGGATCTGTAGCAGGGAACTCTGACCACTAGATCACAGAGGCGGTTAGATATATTAGACTACAAAAATTTATTATCAGGGGCTCCATTCTGCGTACACAGAATCCAACCATAACATCCAATACTGAAAAAAAAAATTCTACCCGAAAGAGTCTTGTGTGGCTTAGCAGAGGGGGAGGAGATTCTTTCTTAAGAGGTACGAGCAGGGCTTGAGGTGGGGCGGGATGGCATCCTGGTTCTTTTTTTCTAAATGGCATAAAAGCATCCCGTTACTTCTTTGGCAGTAAATGCAATGTACAATACCTCTTTTGTTGTTGTTATCTGTTTCATGGTTGTACAGGCTACTCCCCTGTGTCGTCTAACTAAATTTTCCTTTCGTGTGGTACTGTTCGAAGCACCCGAGAATTCACAGTCCCACATCACATTTCTCGCACTTCGTCTGAACACGTTTCCTCTTTCCACGTGCAGAACAAACACAGCATTTCATTCTCATGGCACAAGAGGTCGGCCAGTGATGTCGGTTGGCTTCCTCTAGACGAAATATTGTGGATGACAGAGCAGGAGGTCGACCTAATGGCGTTGTGGTTGGGAGCGACGCATTACAGCATGTTCCAGCATGTTGCGCATAAGGGTAAGACGAAAGTCCCTATGTGACAGTTTCGCACCGCAGGATGAAACTGTTCAGAATTGTCAGATCCAGTAAATGGAAGACGCTTGTTTGGCAGCAATAAGGGTTTTTCAAAGAAAATAGGGGGCAGGAAATTTTCCTTTGTGTCAACTTCCACCAAATTCCCTGAATAAGCTGAGAAAATTGTGAAGATAGAATTATATAGGCTTATGGCCAGCACACTTTTATGGCATGGGGTTTCTGCTAACAAGCCCAAGTGTTACAAAGAGGAAAGATTTTATACTGCAGAACTGTTGTGTGTAGGAGCGGAAAAATTTTATACTGCAGAACTGCTGTGTGAAGAATTTTTTAGTTAATTCAATTCATTTATCATAAAAATTGTATTAGATAGAGCAATTCCAAAAACAACGCTCAAGCGCTCTAAGTGGAACTGGCATTTAAACGTAGAGCAGAAACGTGGATTTAAACCCCTGCAAGCAGCGGGCATTTAAATAAACCCCGGTCAGCTAGCTTTACCTGCGTTTCAAAACTCCGGCGGTTAAAGGTTAAGGAAAGATTCATTTTTGTATTCTTAAGACCGATAATAAATTATACAATGTCGGAAACAGTTTGTCCTTCTCTTGCCTTGCATACCATCCCATCCCATCCCAATGCAGAGGTGGCCTGTCTCCAACAGAACAGTTGTTTACAACAAAATTTTAAGTTCTTCTATTGTTGATGTCACGTCTGAATTCTTAGTTATTTTATTGAAAATGAAAACACAATATCTTGGCAGAAAATGAGGTACACATTTCCTACTCCCTCCTACTTCACTGGACAGAAATAAATTTGGTGTTGAAATAGCATAGTTGGCAAACTACAAATACAGTTATGACCGGTACAGGCTGTATTCTCACATCCGGTAATACATATATAAACTTGTAGAATAATGTGAGACCCATCCCATTTAAGCCATAGGTCAGACGTTTACAGTAAATAATCACAAAAGTTTCTATTGTTGATGACACGTCCCAGCCGTAAGGACACACATATTTTATTCTATTCCAACCAATGGGAATTTAGCCAGGAATTTTAGTGGGGGGTGGGGTTCATTGGGTTGATCCTTGCTTCAATGACAGAAACTGTACGAAATGTTATTTTAGTTCAGCATCAGTTTTCATTTATCGGTGAAAATGGAGAAATGGATAATTCGCAGTAAGAAACCCAAGTTAAGTGAAAGTGGCAGTTATAAATCGTGTGTAACTATAAGTAAAAGTGAAACAATTGTAAGTTCCATCCACTGCAACGAAGACAAAACCACCGTATGTGTGAATACAGCTGCAATAGATAACAGCGTGACTCAAAATCAGGTGCATGAAAATGACGTTAATTATTTCCCTAATTACTGGACACAAGATCAATGGCTAGAAAAATTGAAAATATACGAGTGGTTGACAATTAGTAAACAAGGGCTAGGCTGTACAACATGTAAATCAGTGGGAACTCTAGGGCCTGCAAAAACACAAGGTTTGAAATTATCTAGTGAGTGGTGTGAAGGTAGGGTCAAGGAATATGGTGAAATAAAAGAGAAGAAACAACAATCGATTAGGAAGAAACTGTCTTGTCATAAACTATCGGCAGCTCATGTTAAAGCTAGTGACATTTTATGCCTTGCTAAAAAAAGAAACAATTGAATGTCTGAATGTTAAAACACAAGAAAAACAATACGTTACAACTTGTCGCATATTTAGGACAGCTTATCAAATAGCGAAAGTGAACCGTCCCATGACAGATTTAGCAGCTTTGATTGATTTACAAGAACTAAATGGTTTAGCTATGGGGCGTATCTTGCAGTCTAATCATGCGTGCACTGATATTTGTGATCATATAGCAGATGAAATGAGAAAGAAACTTGTTAAATATATTATTGATAATGATCTTAAGATAGGTTTCATGATCAATGAGACTTCTACTCGAAGTAAAAAAGAAGCTCTTGTAATCTGTTTACATTGCAAACTGCCTGATTCCATGGATGGGAGTAGTTATTTTTTTGATATAGTGGAATTAGAAAATACTACAGCTGCAACGATCAGGGATGCCTTTCTGAACAGTATCAAGAGTAATGGATTTCACAGTGACTTTTTATCATGAAATTGGATTTCATTTGCTTGTGATGGGGCCTCTAACTTACTTGGAAGGCATGCAAGTGTCGCACAAATTTGCTCCAAATGTATCCTCAATTGATTGTTTGGCATTGTAGTAATCATCGATTAGAAATAGTGGTGAATGATACAGTACGGGAAATGTCAACAGTGTGCCACATGCAATCATTTTTTGATAAACTCTATTCCGTTTACAGCGCGTCTCCAAAGAACAAATCTGAATTAGAAACTGTTGCTGCACAACTGAGTATGAGATTAAATACCATAGGACGAGTGTTAGGAACGACACGTTGGGTATCGTCTAGTGCGCGGTCTGTGAGAGCCATATGGAATAATTACCCTGCTCTTTATAAGCATTTTCACAATGTGTCTGTAGACCCAAAATGCACGGGAAGGGAGAGAGCTCAATATCCTGGATTGAAAAGAAAATTAAGCAACGTAAACTTTGTTCTAAATATGGGACTTCTGTTCGATGCTTTGACAGAACTTGAACACCTGTCTTTAAAATTACAAGAAAAGAAAATCACAATGCCTGAAGCACATCATTTAGTTCTTGTTAAGTATCACATCTTTCAGTCCATGGCAAATAATCCAGGTGAATATTATTCTGAAGTTCTAATGGCTGCTGATAAATTAGAATTTAAAGGAGTTAGCTTAGAAAATGGAAAAGTGCAGAAGATTACTGAACAACAATTCTTTCAGAAATTAAGTGACAATATAAACACCTGAATGTTCACCACTAGAGCTTCATATGAATCGACTGGAAGTAGTAACACAACTTGGTCAAACACGGACAATTACAGTCAGTTACTGGACAACTTGAAAATAATGGATAAGGCTAAGTGGGTAAAATGTCAAGATCCATGTTTTGCTGATAAAGAGATTAGGGAACTCGCTGAGTCATTTATGGTGTGTAAGAAAACTTCAGTTCATGGATTCCATGAATATTACATGAATATAATGAATGGTGACGACATGTATCCTGATGAACTAAAGCCGTTGATTGCAGCTGCAAATACTATTATTATTTCAACTGCAGAGTGTGAGCGTGCATTCAGCAACATGAACAACATTATTTCAACCATCCGAAGCTCGATGCTTTTAAAAACAGCATCTAGTTTAATGTTTATTTCATCAGTGGGACCCCCTTTTAGTGCTTTCGATGCAGAATATTATGTAAAACAATGGCTAAAGAAAGGACGTCGACATGCAGATTACCAGTCTTGTGCAGCCCCCGCAGATAGAAGATCAGTGACTTCAGAAAGCAATGAAAACATCTGGAAAATATTCTAAAGATAAGTCCTCGTAATGCATGTGTGACTTTATTTTAATGCATGCCATTTAAACTACTGTAATATGTTTGTAGGTCTTAGATGGAACACAGACTATATACATCACTCGGTATATTTTCATAATTTATGTCTATGAATTAAAAGGGGAAAACCACGCCGGTTCTATTTTCATTCCACCTCAAGCACTGGGTACGAGAGGAATCTCTACTAATACTTCACACAGCTTCAAGGGTTTTAGTTCCGTTGTCTGTGCTGTATTTTACTCCTGTATAAGAACTTTCTGCCTAATACAAGGGAATTAAAAATGAAGTAAACACTTTCAGATACGAGGGGGCATGCAGTAGCATAGTTGGTTGAGGCACTATGCTACAAGCTATGTAGAAGGTATTGGGTTTGAGTCGCAATGAGGTGGATTTTTTCAATTTACCTAATCATTCCAGCTGCATTATGGCCCTGGGGTCAACTCAGCCTCTAAGAGAAATGAGTATCAGGACTCTTCCTGAGGGGTAGAGGGTGGCCGGAGCATAAGGCTAACAAACTTACTGCCATCTATAAGCAGACTGTCTAGAGAAAATGTGGGAGCCTTGTCATCTCACAACCCTATGGGCCTCCACAGCCTGTTACGGGGATAGCTTTACCTTTTTACCATACACTTTCAGATACTAGTAATATTGATTCATTTCATGGTAATGCCATGTATATTGCTAAGCAGCTACTATGACCAATCTTCTTCCTAATACCAGCCAGAAGCATGATTCTCTCATCTATTTGAGGTGTTAATGTCACAAAAATGGCATCTGTGCCATTCAATATGCAAAGAATTCCATTACAAGTATGGAAGAAGAGTTCTTTAAATGTTACCAGAAGGATCCATCAAAACAATAGTCAATTTATGTATGGTGTAAGCAGTCAAACCAAAGGTTAAATCTGCAAGGGAATGAGTTCTGGTCATTGAATTACTTGAGACACGCTGGTAAATGTCTGGGAAAAATGGGAGTATCAAACTGATGTCTTCCATGTGACTCATGAGGCTCACATTGTCTGTAAAGTCTGTATGAAACCTGAAGAGAGTATCAGTCTATATGGGTTAAAAGGTAAAGTTGTCCCTGTGCTTAACTAATTAAGCAATCTACCATGAAGATGTACAAGGGAGCAGATATATAGAACCACGTTTTCTTGACCTCAGCACTAGTTGGAGGTGAGTGGTAAGCTTCATGTCCCGGCTGCTTTACCTCCAGTGAAAGTGTCCCCGGTACCCACTAGATAGGAGGCTGGGTGGGCCCCAGAGCCAGTCTGGATGACATGGAGAAGTGAAAATTCTTGCCCCCACCAGGACTCGAACTCCAACCCCTCGGTTGTTCAGCCTGTAGCCAGTCGCTATACTCACTATATGGGTTATATGCACATCATATGGATAATTTAATTCCCATGATTTTTTTTAAATGTTTACTCAGTTTAAATTACCTTTTATTTCTTAGCACGAATATATGTCTGTCAGCCTCACAGACACTGGATCCATGAGACCGATCCGTCTGAGACCAAAACAAGAATTATGTATAGAAAACTCACCTGTTCTGCAAGCGAGAGCTGAGATTGGACTTCAGCTACTTTCTCTCTGGTGCTTGAGAGTTCTAATTCAAGTTGTTGTTGATTTGAGGCAGACAACTCGAGGTTGGTTGCCAGTAAGTTTCTTACATTGCTCAGCTGGTTCTCAACCTTCAAAAATCAATAACAATTCCTTTCTTTACTCATTCTGCAGGATTATACATAAAAGTACAGTAAGATACTTATTTTGAAAGTGGCCATTACATTTATAAATTGATATGAAGTGAGAGATCCACTATATTTCAGGCAGTGCCTTTGAGCATGCTTCATCATATGAAGTGGTCATGGTTAAACATCCCTGTATTAAATCAGTATTTATTGACTCAGATGGTAATAATTCCACTGTCTTTTCTAACTATATAATACTACAATAAATTTCATCAATACTTTAAGCACACTGATTAAGCTACTACAGCAAATGAGCTTCAGTTCTGCTGAGCCATTTTCAGTACACTTTCCAATTTACACATTTCAGTTATTAGCTATCATGTACAGTTAATGATTATACATTTAGTACAAAAAACATTAAGAACTGAAGAGGAAATTCTTGCAATTCCTAGTTAGTTAGTTATTGGAGAGGGTGGGTTTCCCCATGCACTGAGACCAGTATTGGTCCATTGTGCTTCCCTCTATGATATTCTACCAGTCTCTATACCCTACCGATACTGGTGCGTACCATCAGTCCTGACCGAGCCAGCGAGTTCGGCCTCTACTGGCTTTGCGGTATCTATAATGCTTCCCCCATCTATCAGAGGCGTTAGAGACTACTGTTGGGCGGGAAATGTCCTTGAATTTAGCTCAGTGACCTCCTTTGGAGATATGAGGTTCTTTTACGTGCCGTAAAGCTACGACACGGGACCCACGGCTTAAAGTCCCTCCCGGAGGACTTGTTCCCTGAATTTTTCCGCCCTTAAAAATTCCACGACCTCTGCCAGGTTTGAACCCATGTACCATGAGTCATGAGGTGGGAATATTACCTCTAGACTACAGAGGCCGCTTTGCAATTCCTATATCCAGTTATGGTTTCCACAGGCACTCCTTTCAACATTCCACTTTCATATACTACTCGTAGAGTCACTGAGGTAAAAGGTAAAGTTGTCTCTGTGCTTAACTAATTAAGCAGTACACCATGAAGGCATATGGGGGAGTGGATGTATAGATCAAAATTTTCTTGACCTTGGCACCAGTTGGAGGTGAGTGGTCAGCTTCATGCCCCTACCACCTTACCCCCAGGGAAAGAGCCCCCGGTACAAATTGGACAGGAGGCTGGGTGGGCCTCAGAGCTGGTCTGGATGACATTGAGAAAAGAAAATTTTTGTCCTTACCAGGACTCGAACTCCGAACCCCTGGTTGTCCAGCCTGTAGCCAGTCACTATACCAACTATGCTATCCTAGCTCACCAAGAAAACCTTCAAAATCACAATTACCCTGAACAAGCATACTATGAATTTTGAAACTTCAGGAAAGACAACCTGAGAGAATAAGCTGTTCTGCTACCTGGAGGTAACTTTTCTTTCAACAAAGATTGACCAGTGCTATAACTTCTAGATTCAGGATGCACAATTCACTTACCAAATTAGACATGGAAAAGCAAAACAGGTCAGATCATACACAGTGGGAATTATTTTTTGTGGTTTCTCTTTCTGAGGCCATCAGTAGTGAGGCTATATAGCACTGAATGATAGATGAGACATGAAAGATGAATTGGCAAGGATCTGAACAGAAGAAATCATGACCCAGTCAAGGTACTACCCCATCATTTTTCTGAAGGAACTGAGGAAAGCCATTGAAAACCTTGATGAAGACAGCCGATGCCCTAGCAAGGTTTTAAACTGAGCATCTCCCAAATGAGTGTAGAAAATTACTCTTGAACCACCTCATTTGGTAATATGAGGTAAGGTAAAGTTATCCCTGTAACAGGCTGTGAAGGCCCATAGGGTTGTGAGAGGTTGAGGCTCCCACATCTTTCAGATAATCAGCTTGCAGATGGCAGTAAGGTTGTCAGCTTTATGCACTAGCTGCCCTTTACCCCCAGGGAGATTTCTGGTACTCATTTCTATTAGGGTCTGAGTCGACCCCAGGTCCCCAGTGTGGCTGAAAGGATTAAGTATGTTGAAAAAATCTACCTCATCTGGACTCAAACCTGCAACCTTTTGGCTTGTAGCATAGTGCCTCAGCTAACTATGCTATCGCGTTTTGGTAATGTAAGGGTGAACTTTTACATTTAAGCATACAAAAAACGTCAATCCACACATAGACTGGTAAACAGAAATGTGAGAACCAAAACACACTTTTTGATGTGACTCTAGATTTCATGGCGAAAACAAAATTCTTGGCAGATATATGTGTTCTCAATGATAATACAAGGTCTCCAACCCAGTACATAAGGAAAGGTCATAATCAATCTATTTCATGGCACACCAATAACATAAATATGTAGCAGGATAGCAGGCGATACAACAGGCAAGATTAATATAAATGTATTACTAATGAATGGCACAACAAGAGTACACTGGAATCTAAGGAAATCTTTACTATGTTATATTTATAGGTAGAAAAATAATAATGAGTCCCTCCTGTGTTCTCCAAATATATACAGCAAGCAGAGGGTGTGAGTATCGAATTACTAACTGAGTGACTTTTTGACTCTCCCTTGCATTCCAAGATGCAGTCAATAAACAATGATAAATTCATAAAGAAGAAACTGAGGACCTCGTCAAGATGTGATGACTCAGGAGCATCTGACGAGAGTTCCTTCAGAGTAGATATTTCATTCTGAGCTGACCCAAGTTCCATCTTCAACTTGTCCGCTTCTTGTAGATATAAATTGGCCTGTTGAAGGAAACAATGCAATACAGTTATGGAAAAGTGTCTTACAAAACATACAACACATTATCAAAAATGGACAAAAAGACATGCTTCATAAATTTCAAAATTTTGGCTGTAATACTCGTATGAGTTAGACAGTTCATTTCTTACACTAACATTTGTATTATTTTCCAGAAAATCTTGACAGATTTCATCATAAAATAAAGGAAATGGAGAAGTGATGTCACGAAATGTGGAAGGCCAAGAAAATAGCAGATTACAGCTGGCCGGTAAAAGGAATACTTCCATCATAACATAAAAACAATAAGTTCTGGGAAGAAGTAACTATCTTATTTCCTTTGATATCACAAGGACGACATAGAAAATGATACCTCCAACAATTCTTCTTCTGTTGCATCTATTTATTTCTGCAGTAACATTTTTGCCAAGCCACTGCCTAGCAACAACAGGGAAATGCATGTGCGGACACAGACTGATGGGAGGGATTTATGAAGTATGCCAGTGAGATTAGCTCAGATGCCATGATATATATACCAAATTTCATAAAGACTGGTTCAGCCATTCAAAAGTTCATGGGATGCACAACAAACAGATAGCATGGAGACTGCATAAGCCTACATTCATTTTTTAAAAATAAGGAAAGCAGACTAAGGAAAATGTAATTTTGACTGCAGAAGTGTGGTGAATTCAGAGCTATATCAGTATGCCTCATTATTACAGTTTTATTTGTTATATGAGTTTTTTGTACATTTCAAAAGTTATCAACTTCTGGACATGACAGATACACAAAACCAATTAACAGAAAATACATTTCTCAACTCTCTTAATGTGTACAAAATCTTTATGTAACAGTACAAAATTAATGCCATTTTGAGATCCATGTATCACAGTTATATAAAGTGGTTTATAAGAACAAAAATGACTGTTGTTCAATTCAGATTTGCAGACCAGCGTAACTGATTATCCAGATCTACAGGAGATGGACAAAAATATGGAAACACCTCATGAAATGCATGCCTGATTGAAGTGTTTATTTTAGCGACGTTTGTAGGTCACACTGTCATATCTGCCCAACACCACTACCTGTACAACCTCCGCAATATGTTGCAAGCTTCATTTGTTGTCAAGACAGTGTTCTGTGCAATTTTTTGTGCATCATGTCAGAGCTAACAGAATTCGAAAGCAGGCAAATTGTTGGGGCCCATATGGTGGGTGCTTCCGTAACCAAGGTAGCCGAGGTTTTTGGTGTTTCGCGAGGCACAGTATCCAAGATTATGACCACATACAGGACTGAAAAAACCGCAACCGATAAACACCAGCGTGGACGGAAATGTGTGTTATCGAGACAGACGAACATTGCATACGATTGTGATGAAAAATAAGAAGACTACATCTGCAAAAGTGACTGCTGAACTGAATGTCACACTCACAAACCCTATCAGCACCAAAACAGTACGAAGGGAACTCAACAAGCAGGGTATTTCTAGATGAGCTGCAATTCCAAAGCCACTCATCAGTGATCAAAATGCCACTAAGAGGAGAGTGTGGTGCCAAAGTCATAAAACATGGACTGTGGAGCAATGGAAAACGGTCATTTGGTCGGATGAGTCCACCTTCACACTGTTTCCAACTTCTGGCCAAGTTTACGTCTGGAGAACGCCATTCCAAGCTTACGATCCAGATTGTTTGCTGCCAAGAGTGAAATATGGCGGGGGTTCGATCATGGTATGGGCAGCTATATCATGGTATTCTGTCAGACCCATCATTACCCTGCAAGGTCATGTCACTGCCAACGACTATGTGACCATTTTGGGCAACCAGGTACATCCCATGGTGCAAACTTTGTTCCCTTATGGTGATGCCATTTACCAAGCCAACAATGCCTGTGTTCACATAGCTCACATTGCCCAGGACTGGTTTTCTGAGAATGAAGATGAAGTGTCACGTCTGCCATGGCCCCCACAATCGCCAGATATCAATATTACTGAGCCTTTGTGGTCTGTTTTGGAGAGCAATCTGCGTGCGTGCTATCCACCTCCATCATCGATAACAGAACTTACCATGTTTTTCACGAAGAATGGTACAAGATTCCCTTGCAAATCATACAGGACCTCTATTTATCCATTCCAAGGAGACTGCAAGCAGTTCTGCAAGCCAGAGGTTGTCCTACATCATATTAGTCATGGTAATGTGTTTTTTGTTGGGTGTTTCCATATTTTTGTCCATCCCCTGTATTACTAACTACACGTTAAGCCAAAATGAGTTCTTATTTATTAACAAGATAATATATTTCATTTTTAGCATGTTTGAGGATTTCCACCTAATGAAACAGTTCTAATGCCAATTTCTACGATTAATGGAAGAAAATTAATTAAGGATTTCGGGAGATCCATACTGAATATAAGCATCCCAGTCAGTCAAACCCACATAACCATAAAATTATTGACTGTTTTGACTGGACTCCATCCTCAGGTAGAAGCCTACTTACTCGTACTTGTGCCTAGGCTGCGCCATAGCTCAAGTGATTGGTCACTGGCTTCCCATCACGGTGGCCCGGGTTCGATCCCGGGTCTGGTCAAGTGGGATTTGTGGTGGACAAAGTGGCGCTGGGGCAGGGTTTCTCTGAGTACTTTGGATTTCCCTGCCAATCTTCATTCCACCAATTGCTCCACAATCACCCACACCTATCATCTGGGGCTGGTACAATAGGCCAGAAGTGGCCACTGTACAAGGGACTTAGTCCCACCCCACTAGCAATAAAAAAAAATACTTGTGCCTAACAGCGACCAGCTCTACTGACTGGGTCCAACTGAGTAGGCTTTTACATGAGATGGAGACAGAGTCCAGTATCTGAAATAGTGTTTTTAAATAAAAAACAGGAAACTGAATGTCAAAAAAGTCAATAACTGCATTAACATACATTCATCATAAATTTTTAAACCTTATCCACATAACGGTACATAAATTACCTTGGTTTCTGCTTCCATGACAGCCTGGGCGAGCTTTTCATTTTCATCCTTCAGCCTTTCAATCTCCATACGAAGCAGAGGGACAGATCCAGATGATTCATTCATTGGAACAAGTTTGATTTTTGTTGGTGTTGGTGGATTTTTCTCTGGTTTAACATATGAAAATTCATTGCTCTCTAAAGTTTTAATAACCTCCAGCTGCTCTCTGTAAAATTAAAATCATGATAGTTTATGTCCTACTACTGACAACACAGCATCACATAAGGTACTAACAGAAACGTAAGAATGCCCATAAAGAGGTAAAGTTGTCCCTGTGCTTAACTAATTAAGCACTACATCATGGAGACATATGGGGGAGTGGATGTATAGACCAACGTTTTCTTGACCTCGGTACTAGATGGAGGTGAGTGGTCAGCTTCAAGCCCCGGCTGCTTTATCCTCAGGGAAAAACCACCAGTACCCATTTGATAGGAGGCTGGGTGGACCCAAGAGCTGGTCTGGATGACATGGAGAAAAGAAAATTCTTGCCCCCACTGGGACTTGAATTCTGACCCCTCAGTCGTCCAGCCCATAGCCAGTCACTGTACCAACTGCACTATCCCAGCTCTTTGTAAGAAAGCCCATTCTATTTTTAAGTCTAAAAGTTGATTCTCTTTCATATGATGAATCAACTGAACTTCATAAATCTTTTTATACAAATACTTCTGCATATTCTATACAACTAAGGATATATGAGTTTAATTCAAATATGTATAACCATTAATTCTCATTACACAGGTCTGCAACCAAAAAACTACATAAGATATTTTTTACTGTTTCTTATAGATTTTTACTCACTAAAACCGGAAAAAAATAGTAAAAAAAATCCGCCACGTCAATTTTTTTTGCAATACTCATATTTTTAGTTTAATTTTGCGGGAAATTTCTCTTCAACATGAAATCTGGTATCCTATTGTTGATTCTAAAAACCATATCCAATAATTATTTCTTACTTTAAAATAATATTTATAAGAGTAAATCTAAAAAATAATACAAACAGAAAATGAGTGGGATGGGGGGGGCAGTGGAAGGGGTTGGTAAGGTGGGTTTGGTGGTGTGAGGAGCTCAGGTGATCATGCCCCAACATGTTTACTTTGTTTGTAGCGAAAGGCGAGGAATGTTACTAGCTCGGTTGAGCATGTTTGGACATGTTCTTTGGGGTAATAGGAATGAGTATAAACAAGCCTGCTGTCAGATTTGATCATGTCTCAACATGCTAAATAAGTTCAGGATCTTGGTTGATGTATAAGCCACTCAGTTTACATCCTGCATTCAAACGTGACTGTGCTTGTGTTTTAGCTCTGTATTATGGCTCAAAGAGGTTTTGTTATTTCTGCGGACAACTTTTGTTTTATTTGTGGTGAATACATAGTTAAAAGTCAACAAAGAAACATAAGTGATTTTGTGAAGAAAGTGTATTTTGCTTATTTCAAATTGAAACTTGGGGATCAAGACAAACTTTGGGCTCCTCACAAGGTGTGCAGAAGGTGTGAGGAAGATCTTCGTTTGTGGTTTAAGGGTAAGAAAAACTCATTTCGTTTTGGCATTCCTATGATGTGGCGTGAATGGCAAAACCACACGACTGATTGTTGTTTCTGTTCGGTAGATGTGAAAGGCTTTAATACAAAAAATAAAAAGAAAATATCTTACCCAAACCTTAATTCAGCTCTTCGTCCAGTGCCTCATAGCTCTGAAATACCAGTT